AATAGAACTGGAAAAAGAAAACATTTGTTATTAAAAGTAAAAACCAAAATCAGAAATCACTTACTCAGAGATTTATCAGTCTCAACAATCTAAGTACCAGCAAGTGACCTGCAGATTTGATTTGTAAATCACACTGTTTGGTTGTACTGTGTGCTTTATGGTTTAGCATTTTGTATGAACCCAGTTGTAACCAACTCCCACTTTTTAGTCTGACGGAATATCACTGAATTATCTGGTAAAGTGGCATGCTGCAAAGTCAAAATAAACGGAATTCAGTTTTCATTTCTCCAGAAAGGCTCTTCCAGCTAATCTTATTTTTACAATGGCACAACTGAAAACTAGACTACACATTTATCATTCCATGAAAAATTATTAGAAAGATGGATTTAGTTACCCAATAATTTCTGATTTGCTGCCAGATCTAGAATACCCAAGAATGAGCATTTTCTTGATTGGGCCAAGCAACAGTCAGTAACTCCAAAGATTTGCACTTATTATTTCTATTCTATAAAACTGAAGATAGTGTTCAAAAGGAAGGAAGAAAAAGAAAGCAATATTGAGGTGAGCCTATCTATCAGCATTCAAGCAGAGGGCCTAATCATCTTCTCTGCTATGAACCCTGAATATCTATTGAAACCCAAGATCTTATTCTGTCAGGTAATACGTTTAGCTAGGCTGATTGTACTGACTTTACTTGGAATTCTGTATGAGATTATTGGCTTCCCTCAATTTGATTTTTCCAAAAATAAATCCATGCTATAGCTAGAGATTTGACTTCATTGGTTTCAGAAGGGAATCTACTGCTAAAACGCCCATTGTGTTTATCTGTTTGTACTCTCAAGTTAGCCCAAACAATGCATTATACCACAAGTTTTGAATCAAAGTATCTAAAATCCGCTAACTTAAAGAATATGTAAAAAATCTGAGACCCATTACTCCTGTAGAACTGAAATTTCCACAATGTTTGCACCAGTTTTATTCACGAAGTTGTGGCGGTTGCAGCATCCCTGCAGTCATGTGATTGTGATTTCCGATGCTCCCGACCAGTTTCCCAAAAGTGAAGTCAATGGGGAAGCCAGCAGGAAGTCAGAAGTGACTCCCACTCCCACTGCTTTTTTGCCTGCCCATGGTTTATCTGTTTAGGAAAGTAAATATTGATTTATTATTGAAGTTTGTTTGCCTATACAATTATTTTTCTATTTATGATTTATACTCTTCTTAGATGATCACGGGACCCTCCAGCATTGGGGTGAAAAAATATGGTCAGCCTAAAATTTAACATTCATTCTGGTCACATCAGACAACACTACTTTTCTCTCAAAGGATGACCCAACAAGTCACAGGGTTGACTAGTTCTCATTTAAAACTTCCGCACATGCAAAGCTATAAAGTTATACAGCCATCCCTTATGTTTTAGGATTTCCATAACATTCTTTCAATTTCATATTTCTGGGCTTTGGCCAGGAAGATCCAAAGCATGGAGGAGATGGGTGGCATATAAATTTAATAATAAATAAATAAATAAATAAAATGATAAATAAATAAATAAATAAAATGATAAATAAATAAATATAAGTACGTACGTAAGTAAATAAAATAAAATCTTTCTTTCTGTATTCCTAAACCTGGGCAGAAGCCCTTGGTATAAGGGCTAAAATCTTTTCATCTAGACAAATTAGGAAGTATCAGGAAGTTTAGCCTAACTAGGAACAGCCTATTATCAAGGTTGCCACAAACACGTATACAAGTTGCACACTGAACAAAGGTGCCATATGATGGGAATGGTAGGATAAGAAGCTCATCCAGTTACTACTCCATGTGTCTGTGAATGTGCTGTAGAAGAAAAGGGAGAATGAACCACTGGGAAGCCGCAACTGCCATGTGACACACAAAGGTGCCTTACAGGTTAGCGGCGCTCCTACCTATCATAATTATCTTTTAACTGAGGAATCCTTGGGAAAAGGGGTCTTTCAGTGAGGTTTCAAATTGTTCCCCCTTCCATTTTGTAATACCAGCCAATTTTTGTTTATTCAGTAAATTTTGATTAACCAATGATATGGTGTGATATGTGAACATATTCAGTTAAAGACATCAGCTTTATACTTTTGATCGTATGATATGAGTTTCACAGATAAATTCAGTCTTTTGTCCATGCCTGTATTTTCCTTCTTTTTTGAAAAATATCATTGTAGCACTATTAAACAAAATCCAAAGTGGCAATCTATTACACACAACCTATCTACCATTTATGGTTAGGCCCATGAAACATGAATAACACCAATTCTTCTATTTATCAATCAATCAATATTTTATTATGGTCACAGACCACAATTACAAATAAAAATGCATTAAAAATTAAATAAAACATGATAATATATTACAGTTAACGGTGGGCAATCAAAGTTTGCCTAATTTTAAAGACAGTGTAACAAAATTTAGCTATGTTCAAAGAAACTGAATCATACTGATCAGATAGCAACAACTGTACATAAAAAAGATCAGAACTTCCCAGGTATTTTACCAAATAGGGAGTTATAAAATGGGTCCATGAGTCCTTATAGATGGTACTGTATAGCAGGACATGAGCTGTAGATTCAATAACTCCTTGTCCACAGGAGCACAATCTCAGCTCATATGGGACTTTTTTGTATTGGCCCTCCAAAACTGCTGTGGGAAGAGCATTGCAACGTGCTAGAGTTAGTGCCCTTCGGAATTTGGAGACAGTAATGTAATGTAAGTATTTCGCTGGTTTATATAAAAGGGCTTGACTATTCAAAAATTATTAGAAGGGGATTAAATATAACGAGATGCCCAAAAGTATAGTGGGACTTTCAATAGATTATAAATGTTTGGCTATATTTCCAAGTTGTTGCTTGGATGCATAATAAACATTACTACCTTGATAATTAATTGGCTTGTCTAAGTACTAGCTTTTGTAAATAAATATATTTTATTAATTTAGTACAGAAACCTGTTATAGGAAGAGCCAGTCATGACTGGAGCAGTATGCAAGCCTAGTAAATAATAAATAAATCATGGAATAATGTTAACTTTCTTCATAAACAGCAGGTAACAACTATAAACTAATCTCTTTTATAGTCCTAGGAAGGATACAGGTCAAAAGTATTTTATCATTCTCCAAAAGACAAAGAAGTTTTTAATTTGAAGAACTGCTTTTTCCCTTACAGAAGTTTGAGTAAATTGTTTATAAATAAAACATTTGCTACTACCACAACAAGCAGAATTTCTTAGATTTGTTCTGTGTACTGAAATGAAATGTCTGTTTTGGACCTAGAAGTATTGTCATATTATAATTCAGCTTCAAAAAGCAGCATGAATCTTCTGAAGTCACTGAACAAAACCCGTATCCTAGTCTTGACAAGAATAAACTATTTTTAGGAACAATGAGTAGTGTATGATTTACTAGCTGCATACTAGAAAGTAAAATAAACTATTACCATTAATACTGTAAGCTAACACAAACATTTTCTTCTAAAGTCCAAATGAGGCTTTAGATGACAAAACATTAGCCCACCCAAGTTGTTGCACACGCTGAAGTGATGGCAGTTTATTCCCATGAAAAGGTTCCAGCACATGCTCCAGTCAAAAGGTTATTTCAAGAGCCAAGTTGCAACCTTACAACTACTTACGACTCCTCCCCCAGTTGATCATGTCACTTGCATAAACACCACCAAACAAAACTCTGAAGAAGCTGGAGTAATGCAGACAATGGGAAGACATGTGGCATAGAACTCAGCTTGCTTCTTAAAGAGAGTAGCAAAATGTAATTCTTAGTACAAGGAACTCCAGAATATGGGTGTTATACAATTTTGATCTAATTAAAAATATACTGCCCACTGCTTTAGATGCTAAATTTGGAACAAACTGCATTTTTGTTCAATTCACAGAAGTAAAGCTTTGCGATCAGAAAATACGGCAAAGGCAATGTTTCACGTACTATTCCTTTTTGCTTAAAATAGTAATCTTCTGGACGAGGTGATATTTATTTTAAGTTATAAGTTGTCAGTAGGAACCAAAAGCTAAACAGAGCTTCTGGAAAGGGAGGATCAAGCATCCTTTGACCCATCTTCAACAGAAAGTTATTGTTTCCAGGCTTGGCCACTCACACAGCTCTGTTTCTTTTCAGTTGCTCATATGAGCTGCTTTTATAATTATTTAACTACAGTTTTCCAAATGTCTGTGAAATACACTTTTGTTTGTAGAATGGATTATAACTACTTCTTTTTTAAAAAATAAAGTTATCCATCCCAAGCTCTCAGGAGAAAGCAGTTTAAAATTTAAATAGATCTGACAGAACATCGACAAAGATGGAATGGTATAGCTGTACAGTACAATCATTCAATATGTACCAGACCAACCTCTATTACCCTCTTTTTAAAAAACAATGATAATGAAGACATTCATACAATTTATCTCCAAAGAGAAATAAATATATATTTCACACACCAGCACACACACAGAACAAAAATCTTTCTAGGGGCAAATGCCTACCAAAGGAGAGTCCCCTCAGATTCTTAGTCTTAAATCCTAAACCTACTTCAACAGAAATTGAGATATTCTCAAGAAAACATGCTCATGACCTTTTGTTAGCTTCTTATTACTTTTAGCAGAGTATTAATTACTTAATGCACATGTCCTAAATTCCTGTTTCCCTCCTCTCTTTATTTTTACTGTGAATGGAAGACTCACTGACAAGAGGGGAGAAAAAAGGAAAGAAAATATTGCTTTGATGCAAACATCCAGACTCAGAGGGGTGGGAAGTGCTGGTTGGAGGGTAAGGGTGGACTTCCAGCCAGGCTGGACTTTTCGGGGCTGATGAAAGTATTGGCCCCAAGCCTTAGTAACAGAAGGAGTGTGTCAACACCGAATATTACACTCCGAGTCAGAAGGGAAGGGAAGGGAAGGGCTCCGTCCTATGATCACCCGTCCGTCTCTACCCAAAAAGCAGCCCGTCCCACCCCATCTCCGGCTACACTCACGTGGAAAGCTTTCTCGTCCAGAAGAGGCCGCCGGGCCAAAGCTCCTGAAGCTGAACGGCCCGGCTGAGGTTCAGTTTGATCTGGGCAAGGAGGTAGCCGGCCTCGACTTCCAGCTTGTCGCCGTAGGGCAGCAGCGTATTGTACACCA